TGGATTAAAGTCATCCATGCTCAAAAATGGAATCATCCATGTTCAAAATGGAACGTGGAATATTACAAGGAGGGGCGTTGTCTGCCAAAATGTATTTGGTATTTATTAACGATTTATTAAATGAAATAGAGAATTCTGGTTTAGGTGCAGTAATTGTTGATTTAAATGTTAATGTTCCTACACAGGCAGATGACATTTGTCTGGTGAGTACGAGTCTTAAAAGTCTTCAGAAAATGATATCAATATGTGAGAATTATAGTAAAAAATGGCGTTTTTCATTATCTGCTGTAAAAAGCAAAATTGTAAATTTCACAAACCCAAGTAGTAGAACTTGTACTATGTATAAAGATCTTTATCTCTACAATTGTATTATGCCACAGACTGACGGCATTACACATGTTGGTATTTTATTAAACTCTAAACAGAACTCTTTTGAGAGAACAACACTTGCATGTAATAAGTTAAGATCGGGTACGATGTCCCTTGTTCGTTCCGGTGCACATCCTTGTGCTCTCAACCCTTTAACAGTAGCGAAGCTGATCAAAATTAAAGTTTATCCATCCGCCTTATACGGGTGCGAGCTTTGGCAATTGACAAAAACCGAAATAATAATGTTAGAAAGAGCACAACATTTTATTGTTAAACGTATTCAAGGGTTTGAAAAAAGAACCAGAACAGACATGTGTACATCCTTACTTGGTTGGACCTCTATTGAGGCATATATAGACATTAGAAAATTATTATTCTTGGGAAGATTGTGTAGAATGAAACCAATGTCTCTTGTTTATAAAGTTTTTATTACAAGACTCTTTTTGTTTCGACTAGGTAGACCGTTCCAGAACGGATTCATCCCCGACATAGTCAAAATATTAAAAAAGTATTCGTTGCATCAAAATCTAGATAATTTTGTTGAAACTGGAATCTTTCGAAAGAAAAGTGATTGGAAAACCACAGCATATAATTCTGTAATGAAATATGAGGGACACAATCTAAAGGAACGTATGAAAGTTGATAATGATTTTACAAGATTTCGAGAAATACATAACCAACTCAAACCTAATACTTTATGGAAGCTAGCGCTTCGATTTCCTCAATACAGAGAATATATACAATATATAAGGCAATAGTTGTAACCATCCGTAGCTTGACTACCATGTAATTATGTCATAAATGTGGGTTTTTATATCAAGACCCAATGACACATATAGTGCTACAGTGTACTTATACTTCCGAGTTGAGGGACCAACTATGGTGCTGTATAATTAATATCAATGATATACTGTTTAGTGTCCATTTACACTCTCTCCCAGATCTTGAGAATTACACATAATGATTGGAGGAAATATAACCTACAAAATTAGTGAGGAAGAGTTGAATGATTTCAGGATAAAATCCATCATTTATGTGTACAAGATGTGTAAACTATATTATACTTAATGTATATAATAGTTATGATTAAAAGTTAAATACATACATATCTAATGTAGAATTTTCTATAAGTTATGTGCACTTAGCAAAAGATATCACATGAGATACTATATGAACTATACTACAGATTAAAATGCATGGGAGTATACATATGTGGGCCCGTAACACCTCGCAGGTAGGGATATCCCCCACCCTTATGTGATCCAGACCCACAAATGTATCTTCCGCGTTTATAGTTAGTATGTTACAATGAATGTCTTTATTGCATGTATTAACAAATACAACGATACATTGATATATATACATAGTCATGTATAAGTATCACGTACCACTTATCAATACAATTTATTATAATTTACTTGGCTTGTGCAAATCAATTTGCAATCTGTATATTGAAACTTTTTAGGTTTACTCTAAAATATTTTATTATTTTACACCTTATATACACATCCCTATATATAAAGTGTATATTTATGTAATGCATATTATGTATTCGTGTATATATGTAGCAAATACTTTGTATTTATGTTCCACATTACTTTGTAATCTTCATCTTTGGATGCAATAAAGAGAATAATAATAATAACCTAATTTTCCAGCAAGACAATGCTCGACCGCATGTTGCCAGAGTCTGTCGTGATTTTCTCACGGCAAACAACGTTCAGCTTCTGGAATGGCCCCCATATAGCCCCGACATTGAGCATCTGTGGGATGAGCTGGACAGGCGTATTAGGAAACGTAAAAAAAACACCAACTAACCGCGCCCAGTTGATCGCAGCATTAACACAAGAATGAAACAACATTCCCTTAATGCGAATAAATGTTCTCATGAATTCAATGCATAGGAGAATCCGTGCAGTGATTCGTGTAAAAGGTGCCCACACCAGGTACTGAAGTGTCATTTTGTTCATTTCGCGCGTATCACACTTTGAGTAACTACTGATGACACGGGTGACGTCACACAGATTTTTCTTCTACAGTATTGTAAAGAGTAGACTTGTCCCTTCATATTGATATAAAAGTTTGTACAAATTTCCCAAATTGATTGCATAATTTATTGTGCGTTTCTTTTTTTGTTCAGTATATATTAATATATTTGCATATTTTAACTAGTAAAACTTTGCTGGAATTTTAAACAGTTTAGTTGCCTGCTATAATAATTTGGAATATACAATTTTCTTTCATTTGAAAAATTTGGACAATTAAACATATAATGAAATTCGCATCTCCAACTTCAGTATGACACAAATGGCGTATTCTATTTCTTCTCTCTATATTTGACCATCTTCCTCTTTCTATTGGAAGTCTGACATTGCCAGTTCTAAATTTACAGAACATAATGGCATTTTTTGTAGACAGGATATTTAGATAATTTTCTAATTTTAGTTCATCTTTAAATAATTTATAATTTATTCCTTTGCTGGATTCATTTTTGCCAGAATCCCAATTTTGCAAAAATTGGTCACATACAATTCGTCCAACAGTTTTTTTTAACCACAAAATATTTGGAAATGTTTGTGATATCCATGATATTGGATATTCCACACTCATCAAGTATACTTTTCACATATCTCATCCAGGGGATGTAATAACCAGTTTTCCCATTTTCTTCTGCAATTTTGTGAAATAATAATTTATGCAAAATACTGGATTTTTTATTATAATCTGCTTCTACAAGGTTTGCCCAGAAAGTGATCATTCTCACTTTTATATTTATTGATAGGGGATATCTCCCCAATTCGCCAAACACCATAAAATTTGGGGTAGACTTATTTACATGAAGTATGAATTTGCAAAATTTAAGATGTAAACGCTCGATCATATTTAAATTACTGAAACCCCATATTTCGCAACCATACAATAAAATTGGTTTTATAAATTTTGTCAAATAAGTCTAATTGACAATCTATTGATAAGTTGTGAAGTCTACACTTCCTCAATACTGCAAACATAGCTTTTGTTGCTTGAGACACCAGGTATTTTTTGTTACAGGCATATCCACCTGACCTACTTAACATAAAACCAAGATATTTCAATTCCTTTACAATCTCGATTTCATCATTATTATAAGTAAACCTTAGATTTCTATTTAAACGACCTTTGGAAAAGATCATTATTTTTGTCTTCGATACATTAACTTTTAGTTTCCACATTTCGCAATATATCTGAAAACTATCTAATTGTTTTTGTAAATCCCCTGGTGTTTCAGCACGGAATAAGGCAACAACTTTTCATGTCATTTAGTATTTTGCTTTCGGATGATCAAAGACGTAAGCATGTATTGAATATGTATGATTGTAGTAATATCCTGTACCTATAAGTTGTAAACTTTTGGAAAAATAAAATGAATCAATGAAAAAAAAAAGTATATATTACCACGGACTTAGATAATTCCGTGATATTACGTTATATGTAATATATATACGTCTCTGGATTGATGTATAAGAAGCGTTACATAATTCCTTTTATTTATCTATTTTATGTTTAAATTGGTTGATGACAACCTACTCGTCTACCCTTCATAAGATTGGTCAGAGAACTATATCTGGAAAAATATCTAGCTTGTCCAAAACAGACTATCTGTGAGTTACTCAAGTAATTGAAAGGACTTCGAATCATATACAATCCATATACTTTTTGAATTTTATAGTATTTGAGTATCTAATTTAACTCCAGCATTGTTATATAATTGATACTGTTATGTTTAACAAAATTGAATAACGAACATGTTTGAAAAGTAATTTCAAATGTTCTTAATATTTCCTGCTAAATTTATATATATGATCTTAATAACACCATTTTTGACATGAATAGAATGAATATAGTGAGACTGATTATTATATTTCTAACTGCTTGAGTCGCATGTATATGTTTATATGATAAAACGAATACGTTTTAGGAAAGAGATGGTTAATTTTATGATTTTAGATTTCATTTCAGATAGATTATGGGATACTCTACTGGTGAAATAATGGATCGTTTTATAGTGTCGATAATATGTTTCAAGGTGTGTTTATTTTATTGTTGATTAATGCAATGAATTAATACGGAAATAGATAAGTATCACGTCTCCCAATTATGTCTGTACTGATTAACCACAAAGTTAAAAGAAAGAGAGAACGAAGACATGAAAGAAACACGGAGTCCGATCCTGCCCCGATCCATATCAATAAGCAATACTCTTATTTCGCTACAATTCTTTTATCAAATATATCTTATACCCGATACGCATAATTAAATAAATATATATCTTATACCCGATACAAAATATATAATAATATAAATACAGGTATCATAAGTAATATATTTCAGTCCGATTCTGCCCCAATCATGTAATTGCAATTCTTTTATCAATTATACCTGATACCCGATAAGGATAATAAAGTATATACAATAGATATATATAAATAAGTCTGTTCCTGCCCCGTTCTGCCCGTTCCTGTAAATCGTCTGACCGAATGTAAATGGATTTCAGGCTCCGTGGGGAAAAACGGGACTTTAAACACTGTTTTTTTATTAGTTTACCACAATAACAAGGATCAATCAAACGCTTACCACACACACACAGGAAAGGATACTTGAAGCGTCTAACAAACACTGAAGACCGCGACGAGCATCAACGCGATGGAAGAGAAGCAAGTTCGCTATGAGAAACTAGAGTTCTTAGGCGAAGGACAGGTACATTTTGAATAATTATTTCGATGTATTTAATCTTCGTTTTTGCCAAGGCATAATTTGTTATATAGAAAATATCCGAATAAAATGTCATTAGCGGTAAACGACACTTGAGAAAAGTGAAGTGGAAAGTTTTCCTGTCGAGTCTTGTTTTCACGAACTGTCATCACGATGAAAGTTATTGTTAGAACTTAGTTCTGTGATTCAAATTAAAGAAAACCAAGTAATTGTTTCAGTTATTAATCATGTATTATGTGTCACCAACTATGAAATCATTTGTATATTTTATATCGTACTCAATAAATCCATACTTCCATTTATTTCAGTTTGCTACAGTTTACAAAGCTAAAGATTATACGACTGGGAATATTGTTGCCGTCAAAAAGGTTTGTAAAACTATTACTGCAAGGTAAAAAGAGAAAATTCAATTTAAATTGAAAAAGTGTAAATACTGTTGACACATTTTTCATCCTACTTGTAAACTGTACACATATTATTATATACATTTATTGCTAATTGCCTCATATACTATAGGTATGTCAGGGGTCAGTATTTTTTTGTTATCTTATTATTAGTTACTGAAACAACCAAGAACCGAAACGTCCAGGAAATGTATTTGGGATGGGGAAATACTACACCTCAATAACCTGCCCAACATGCCTAAATAATCAATGATTGACTGATCTCCTTCACCATGCACCTCTTACTCAGGGATGTGGTGTTATTGATGACGACATTGCAACAATAAATACTATACTGTAGATTTTCTAAATATCAATGATTCATACAAAGGACTATGTATGGTTTGGGCCTATTTTGACCTCCAAATGCATCAACATTCAAAACCTTTAGATAAACTTTGAAATGGCTGTTTCTTTTATTTTAAATTCTTCCCAAGCACTGCCATGAAAATATTTATTTGTATTTTTAATTATTGTTGCCATGGTAACAAGTTCAAAATTGCATAAAATAGAGAGAAAAAATGAATATTCAGTGAATTTTGTCATATTTTGCGTAGTTTTTCTCCTGGAAACTGTAGAGCACATGCTTGAACAAACTCAAAATCAAAGGATAATGTGTAGGCACCTGTAATACACCTTTAGGAGAAATATCAAGTTTGTTCAAGAATGCGCTCTATGGTAACTAAGAGAAAAACTAGGCAAAAACCTGTCAAAATTTACTGAATATTCAAATTTCATTAATTTATGCAAATATTAACTGGTTACCATGGAGCCATACTTGAAAACCTAAATAAATGTCTACATAATAGTACCAGGGAAGTATTCAAAATCGATATTCTTTTGCTTAGTTAAAGAAGGAAAAAATCGGTACATGGGAAAAATATCATAATAACCGATATATCATAATAACCAATATCATAATAAGTGGGTTCCACTGTATAACAAAATAAATCAGGTTTTGCTTTTGTGTATAATTATTGTTTACAACAAGCACCTAAAAAAATAAAAAGTTGATAGTTTTGATTGAATTATCTGAATGTATTACATTTGTACATGTGATTCTGACTGTAAATAGAGAAAGAAGCCTATTAGAATAATAATTAGAAAAATAATAACCCTGTTCTACTTATTAATTTCTGAATGGGATAATGTATTACAATCATAGATAGAAATAAAAACTCTTCAGAGAAACATGCACATTATGTTAACACTTGTTTGTAAATTATAGACTAGTACTGCAGACATTTTACTGTTATAAAACGGTCAAAACCTCCATAATGTGTTGGTGTCTTGGAAAGTGGAGTAAAAAGGATGGTACACCAAAGGGTATACTTTAAAATGATTTGCAAAAGTTCACAGAAAGTTTGTTTCAAAATTGCTAATTTCTGTGAGGTGGTGTCAGATACCAATTTTTTTTGCAGTATATATTCTCGTGCAGACCAAAATGTGAATTTAATGACATCATGTACATGTACAATATCAAAATGATGTCACATTTCAGAACATCAGCCAATATGGTAATGATCAGTTTCAATGGAAATATTTCTTTTAATGCACTCTCTAGTCGAGATTAAAAGATTTTTTCTCCTCAAAACAGGTCACTTGGTGGAACTATGGGTTCACCTTATGTGACATTTGTGTCTTGCATTGGAGAATGGACATGGGCACCAGTAATGACGTGTTCTGTTACACACACAAACACTTAGAATTGTTAATTAATTTTAGTTTTTGTGGTGCATAGTTGATAACAATAGTTTTACTGTTTAACAAACTGCTGATTTTTAAACATTGTTGAATCACAAACTCTGGTAATTAAAGGAGCTGTTTGTGATTATTTGATAGCACCATGATGTGTTAACCCTTTCACCACTATAGACCATATTAATGGACTCATCCATATCAATGCATGGTAGAGTCTACTAAAGTTACATAGGGATGAAAGGATTAACCTGTATTTGACCTTGATTGGATTATTTGATAGCACCATCACATATTAACCTGTATTTGACCTTGGTTGGTTATTTGATAGCACCATCACATGTTAACCTGTATTTGACCTTGATTGGGTTTATTTGATAGCACTATCACATGTTAACCTGTATATGACCTTGATTGGGTTATTTGATAGCACCATCACATGTTAACCTGTATTTGACCTTGATTGAGTTATTTGATAGCACCATCACATATTAACCTGTATTTGACCTTGATTAGGTTATTTGATAGCACCATCACATATTAACCTGTTTTTGACCTTGATTGGGTTATTTGATAGCACCATCACATGTTAACCTGCATTTGATCTTGATTGGGTTATTTGATAGCACTATTACATGTTAACCTGTATTTGACCTTGATTGGGTTATTTGATAGCACCATCACATGTTAACCTGTATATGACCTTGATTGGGTTATTTGATAGCACCATCACATGCTAACCTGTATTTGACCTTGATTGGATTATATGAGAGCACCATCACATGTTAACCTGTATTTGACCTTGATTGGGCTATTTGATAGCACCTTCACATGTTAACCTGTATTTGACCTTGATTGGGTTATTTGATAGCACCTTCACATGTTAACCTGTATTTGACCTTGATTGGATTATATAAGAGCACCCTCATGACTTTGCCTGTATTTGCTCACAGATCAAGGTAGGAACACGGGCTGAAGTTGCTGATGGAATCAATAGAACTGCTCTCCGGGAGATCAAGCTGCTTCAGGAGCTCAGCCATACACATATCATAGGCGTGAGTCCCTGCATCAATACCTTGTGTTTTTGCAATCTTTAAACATTTGTTAGATTTCTGGTGTTTTTCTGGGATGTTTGGGAAATTGAATTTCTAGAATTTGGATATTTATATGCCAGCTGTGATTATTCCCGCTAAATGTTTTTCAATGTTTTAATTCTCATTTTTGTTTTGTAAATTTCAAAATGTATTTTGGGAAAAATTAAGCCTACTTCAGATGTTTTACCATACGAAGCATTTCATATACTAATATTTACCATATAAAAACGCTTGTGCGAATCGAAGTCTGTTCACCATCGTGACTCTAACCGGAAATCAGACACTGGATTATAATAAAATTTTAATTAGAATAGAGTACGGACAAGAATATCCGGAAGTTTATTTTTTATATCAAAATGTGAATCTTTACTTATTTGTTAATATATAATGTAAGACGAATACTGACACTTGAGAGAATATTTTGAACAGTATATACATTATTTAAAGGCGATTCTAGACACTCATGTACATTGTATGTATATTTATATATATGTTTATGTCATAAAATTTTGAAAATATTATCAAAAAAAAAAAAAAAGAAGCCTACTTCAGAAATATTGTTTATTTTAGTCCCGCCAGGATTTTCAATGACCCCTGACATCTGAAATCTAAAGGTTACTTGAAGGGTCAAAACACTGGTCAGGTAGACATATCCTGTCAAACCCAAGAGTCAAATCTCATTTAGAGAGTGAAAACATACTCTGGAGGGTCTACTCAAAGCCCTGCCCACTGTAGTATATAAACAGGAAAAGATGTATTTATTCAGGAAAAACATGGGAGTCTTGCTTATCGAACAAAGAAATCCACATTTCTGATGGTAAAAGAATAATAGGATATTGCCCTCCCTTGAGGATAGGACAAAGAAAGCTCTCTGGAGGAAATGTTTGACTGTCAAACCAAAAGCTGTTTCAGCTGACTGATATTTTATTGTAATGTACATTTCATACAAATGCAGTACCTATCTGTGGAATACGTTTAACATGCTAAAAAACAAAAAACAGATTTGTCATTGATTAAATGCATTTTACTTGATACAAAAGTTTCTTTGCAGTATACAATATGGTTTGATGTGCACTTTTGTACTAATTATCCACCTGGGGTCAGAGAGAAACATATTTCCTGACTAAAATTGTAGATAACTCTGTCACATTGGGGGGATGCTTTCTAGCCCTTCGATTTGACATCAGACTTGAATATCATGTTTTGCTTTGTATTTTCAGCTTCTTGACGTCTTCGGACACCGATCAAATGTCAGTCTTGTTTTTGATTTTATGGAAACTGATTTGGAGGTACTTATTATGAGATTTCATTATAAATCTGTTCCTATTCTTTGCATATATGTCATATTTGACATGATAAGATGCCTGCTCTAATAAAGGCTTCTCCAGAGTTTTAGAAATTTATATTACTAAAATTGTTATGTAAAATTTCAGAATGTTTCCTTTCTGGATCTTATAATTGTTGAAAGTTGTTTAGTTGGTTTTGTGAATTAGACAATATCTCCTTAAAATTACCACTGTCTGTGAGTGTATTGATCAGGTAATGCTTAAACGCTGGCCAATGTTTCTTGAACTTCCCTTTATTAATGGGGAAATCATCAGGGGTTTGAGATAACAAAATTTGCATATCTCTGCTGCGATTGGAAAAGTAGTAAAACGAAACCCACAAGGGATGTTGCTTCATGACTTATTAAAAAGGTGCCCTTCTTGCCATTAATCTGTACACGGTTTCCTTATTATGTCTAATACAGTATACAACCGAAAAAACACTTTCAAAAAGTTACTTTTTATGTTTTTATTTAAAAGTCAACATTGCCAATATTGATTAATGAGAATGTAAGCTTTTTACATTCCATCTATTCATAACTTCATGTTTAAACATTTGCCCAGTGGGAAACAATAAGGTGATGTCCCTTTTCTGAGAGTAAATTCTGGAAGAATAGGCAAGGCAGTCTGAGGATGTTTGCTCCTCATGATCAGGAGGCCAAAATAGAAAAAAATAATATTGAGTCTGTATTGTATTCTACAATTTTATTTCCATCATATTGTACATATTTCCTTGTAAAAATAATAAATGCCATAAAATTGTCAGCATGCTCAGTCAACAGCAAAATAGTCAATTGGAATTTTGCAGTTAACCAAAATAAGAAATGACCATCTAATTGTCAATTTGCTAACACCAAAATCTCAACAATTCACCACAGCGATAACATTTTCCTGAAATCTGGGGATACAAATGCTAAGAATTCACAGTAAATTGCTTATATAAAAACAAAGGAATTAAGAAAAGTGGAGTTTTGAGAGAAGAAAGTGTCTCCTAGTAAGGCGACGAATGAAACTAGAAGCAGTTTGTCCCTATTGCAATACTTGCATATGATTTATTTTAATGAATACTTTATTTTTTCAGATTGTTATAAAAGATAATGAGATTGTCTTGACACCAGGACATATAAAGTCATATACATTACAAACTTTAAAAGGTTTGGAGTACCTGCATTCCCATTGGATATTACACAGGGTAAGTTTGTTACCTATGGAGATGACAAGTATCATTACTAGAACCATTCCCATTGGATATTACACAGGGTATACCTATGGAAATGACAAGTATTACCTCCTTGATTTACTAGAACCATTCCCAGGGGTAACAAATTAAATGGATTATTCTTTAAATATCCTCTCCACAACGTTTCTCTAATTTATGTTAGGTGCTTGGATATTCAGTATTTATAATGATTTTGGGTTTATATGCTGATCTTAAGTAAATGAGGTCCTAAATTCAACAGAAATCTCAAAAGCTGACTGAAGTTCAGAATATTTGCAGTACTATTCAAATAAGGTTTTCAGGGACATTGCATCAAAGAGGACATACCAGGTACTTGGGGGACCAGTTACAAAATTGATTTACCGGTAATGTGTTAGTGTTCCCCTGTGATTTTAATTTATCAAACTGTCATTGATTAGAGGGGATTTTATATTACATCATCCAACATAAAAGCTACATCTCCTTGATTTTGATATTTTTTTTTTTATCTGACTAGGATTTAAAGCCAAACAACTTACTTATAAACCGACAAGGTATACTTAAGCTTGGAGATTTTGGTCTGGCGAAGTTCTATGGATCCCCCACTAGGATCTACACTCACCAAGTTGTAACCAGGTTTGTATAAACTTTTTTTTGTGCTATTTCAGAAGACAAAGTTTAAAACAATTTTACTACATGTATTACAAGACAAAGTGATACAAAGTATTCTGGAAGTCAAGTTTCAAAGGTCACTTTGACGGGCGGCAAGAGGTCTAGATAATTGACCCCTAATTAAACTAAATGTGGTAGTTTGCAGGGTGTTGAAACAGTTGTAAATATTATCAGCTTGAGTTTTTTCAAGTCGTAAATGATTTAGCCTTGTATCTTCCCTGAAACAGTACACCAAACACTTACCTGACCTGATGGTGGTGGTGGTGTTCTATGTGTGTTGACTGTGACAGACCTTTGGTGTTTGACAGATGGTACCGTTGTCCTGAGTTGTTGTTCGGTGCACGTCAGTATGGTACTGGAGTGGACTTGTGGGCTGTCGGCTGTATCCTCGCAGAACTCTTACGAAGGGTCAGTACACACACTTGGAACAAGTGAGCAGTGACCTGCTATATATAGGTTTAGAACAGATAATACCCTGTAAAAAGAAATATAATCTCTCATTTCCATAATGTTTTCTTTTTAAAAGTAGCTTAGTATCTAGACAAATTGTTTGAATGTCGCAGTTAAATTTTTAACACAACATTTGCTAGCCCGTGTTTTCCTTGTCACAAAGATACACACTATGATTCTGTAGTATGAATTTCTGAACTGACACTCTTATTACTTAGATCATGTGTTGGTTTTCCAGGTGCCCTTCCTTCCAGGTGAAACAGATTTGGACCAGCTGAGTAGGATATTCCAGACGCTGGGCACACCCAGTGACAGTGACTGGCCTGTAAGTAGAACAGACTTGTCTTTGTGTTTCTATTGTTACTTCCTGATTCAGTGACAATGATTTGCCTGTAAGTAGTACAGACTTGTCTTTGTGTTTCTATTGATACTTCCTGATTCAGTGACAGTGATTGGCCTGTAAGTATTACAGACTTGTCTTTGTGTTTCTATTGTTACTTCCTGATTCAGTGACAGTGACTGGCCTGTAAGTAGTACAGACTTGTCTTTGTGTTTCTATTGTTACTTCCTGATTCAGTGACAGTGACTGGCCTGTAAGTAGTACAGACTTGTCTTTGTGTTTCTATTGTTACTTCCTGATTCAGTGACAGTGACTGTTGTAAGGACATTAAACCACATACAAACAAACAAATCCTGTAGAATCAAGACTAGTTCATAAAGATCCAGTTGATCGAGTTGCATTTATCCCTTATGTTTCATTTAAATACAAAGAATTACATTTATGATGTACTACATTTAAATACTGAAATATTGTCAGCTTTTATCTTGGTCACATTATTCTTCATTACAAGCAAGTAAAGCATGTATAGTATCACATGAGTCATCTTCTAACCAGCAAAAGAGGAGGTGAACTGCCCTTAGCCTGTATGTGACTGGCCTGCCGACCCCAAAGGACTACAGAACTCTGTCAGGAAATCAAAGTTCCATCAATATGATCAGGATATAACACCTCACCCTTCAGTCGGGTTAGGGTCTTTACATGTTCACTGTGAACGAACTATCATTTTATAAAAGGCATAACAACATGTGATTTTATTTCTTTTGAAAAGGACTTTTTATATTTCTGAATAGTGACTATGGAAATACTATAGTTTACTTGCTGGTACCCTTTCTCTTAAAGCAAGTGACATGATTTTAAAGACATCATGATCCTCTCCTTCCAGAATATGACCGATTTACCCGACTATGTGCAATTTAAGGAATTTCCTGGCACGCCGCTACGTGAGATTTTTATTGCGGCATCAGATGATTTGTTGGAGCTCCTCTCTAAACTTCTAGATATGGACCCATTACAGCGATGCACATCCACACAAGTAAGTAATACTCTTGATCACATGGACCTGTGATATTTAGCGAAATTTGTTTTCAATTTCTTAATAAATCTTGTTTAAATGAAAATGTCATAGAGATAACTTTTTCAATCACAATAGCGATAACTTTTTCAGCCACAATAGAGATAACTTCATCAATCACAATAGAGATAACTTCATCAGCCAGAATAGAGATAACTTCATCAATCACAATAGAGATAACTT